CCAGCCGTCGTCTGCCGCATCGCGCTTTATTCGCTGTATCTAATCCGGGCTGTAAGAAACCGCGTGGAGGTCAACAGATGACGTGGAGACGAGGCATGGAGGGTTACACAGAGCCATTAGGTAGAGTACGTGTCTCGCCTTCCAGGTGGGGGTCGGAAAGACTCCACAACTGGTTGGTTGGAGACATTGAAGGATATGGCAGCGAACCGACAGCAGTGACATTCTTGTTATTTCTTATCAGGCCAGAACGCTTGAAACGGGTTATATGCAGAGTTCGATTGTGCACGCGGTGTGTTAACCATAGTGGTTCACCTCCCTCCTCCAAAGTAGGTCCAATCCCTGTCCACCTTAAATTTACCACTAACCTTGTATGCTTTGCGAGTTTGGCAGCGATCAGTGAAGTTCGCTTCACTGTATTTCGCTGTACGATGATGATGATGATGACCGGTGAGGAATAGACGATGGTCGGAACATGGAGCCAACAGCTGTTCCCTGTTTTCCGAGCGTCAGGAATCTAGTCCGAAAGGACCTCCCAGGCGCCCCTCGTTCGAGGTCAATCGGCCTACTCTCACCGAGGGGACTTGTCTAAAATCCTGATTTCAAATAAACCAAGAACAGGTGTACAAACCGCACACATCCACATCTTTCTTTTTGTGGCACTGGTTACTGGCTCGATGGGTCATCGAGATGTAGTCGGCACCTTGGACGTTTGACCCGGTTCAAAGGGTGTACAATCTGATGACCTAGACACTGGTTTGAAAGGATTGTGGTTTTCACAAACAGCCCGGTTGCCTTGCAGGTCAGGCTTTGGTTAACCGAATTCAGTTCAGTTCTCACAACCATTAACCATGCTTTTCCGTGCGCTGGTTTTGGTTGCCCATTTGGATGAGGAATAAGTTTCAGCTTCAGTTTAAACAATCATTAAGCATGCATTTTCGGTGCGACGCTTTTGGTTGCTGTCTTTTTGCTACCCATTTGGGTGAACAATAGGAGGAAAACAAGATGGTTGAAAGTAAAATTGAAGAGAAAATTGAGAAATTCAGTGGACTAATGATACAGAAAATGGGAAGATGCACGAACGCCACTGTTTACGACACCCAGCCATATCGCTCAGTGTCTCTAACCATCGGTTACGATCGTCCCGAGGTCCCCAACCAGGGAGCCTAACGGGACCTAATGACCCAGGTTCCTGATTAAGGTTTTCATACCCTCATGCCATGTCCTAGCTTGACCACCCTGGGCTTTATTCCACTCACTATCTGCCTCGGCAAACATCGCTCGCCGTGGCATGCGTAACACATGCCCCAACTAACGTAATCTATGGAGGTCGACCACTTGCTCCGGTGGAAGACCGCAACTGCCTAAAACTCTACGCCTGACCTCAGCATTGCTCATCCGACTGCCCCACCAGATTCGTACAATGCTGCGTAGACAGCGATGTTTAAACACCGACAGTTTATCTTTATCTTGTTTCCTTAATGACCAGGTTTCTGCTCCATATAGCAGAACCGGTTAAACTGCTGCAGCATACACTCGACCTTTAATAGACAGCCGGATTTCGCGACGGCGCCACAGATGTCTCGAGTTGACAAATGCCAACCGAGCCTTCTGTATGCGAGCTGACACTTCATCCGTGATGCGTCCACCAGGTGAGATGTAGCTGCTGTGAGTTGGGACAGCGTTGGTTGATGCACATGCCAATATTTTGAACAAGTACCTATTGTTGTTTCCCATCTGAGCACTTACTAAATCCCGAAGCTTCATTGTGCAAAAACGACTACTCACGGGTATCGAATCTATCAGTGATTCCTCAGCTTTATCGCTTAGTACGTTTCGTACACCAATGGTAGAGGCATTGAGTGATATGACTGAGATTCGTAAATAGTCGCGTTCTTGCATCTTCTCAATTTCTTTGGAATATCAGTTCACTGAAATTCTCTCTTTGATTCTACTTCCAACCTTTCTGTCTTTCTGCTATTCATCCAAACCGGTGCAGGAAAGTGCATGGTTACTGGTTGTACAAACTGAAAGTGAAAACCTTCACAGACAGCCGGATATCGCGGCTGCGCCACAGATGTCTCAATTTGACAAATGCCATCCGAGCCTTCTGCATGCAATCTGACACCTTGCTGATGCGTCCACCGAGTGAGATGTAGCTGCCCAAATAAGGAAAACTTATCCAGTTTCTCTGTTACTTTCCCAGTTAGAATGAGGCTGGGTGTTGGACCAACCCAGTCCTGTAGTAACATTTCACACTTTGAATGTGCAAAACGCATACCGAACATCGTTACACTAGCACTCAAACTTTCCAGAAAAGCTTGTAACTTACAATGTCCTCTGCATACTCTAGATCGGAGTTGGAGTAATCCAAATATAGGCTTTAATCTTCTAGTAGTCGTAGTAAAAAAGTTAGTGTAAGAAGAAGGAGAGTTGATAAAGTTCAATGTGAAGTAGAGTAACACATCAGTTTATGATATTCTCTCCCACAGAACGGAAAACCCCTAGCGCTTGGGGATTCCTTTTAATGCCGTCTGTTCCGCAAGTTGTACGGATGAACACTTTGTTTTTTGATGTGCTCTTGAGCATTACAGATGCAGTGACACTGTCGACGTAGGTAAAAGTATCTCGTTAGCCTTCTTCACGGATAACCTTATATATGGGGCGTCGGTAGCTAGTCACTCTGTTCGTAACTGCAAATGAAAGGTGGCGGAATTGATACAACTTACCGCAAACCTCAAAGGCGGTATAAGGTAAATCTTTTTCGCGGATGGGGATTTGATGGTAAGCACATTGGAGATCGAAGGTGCTAAAGAAGGAGTAGTGAGACACTTTCTCTACTAGTTCGTCGACCTTTAGGAGAGAGAAGGTATGCATCAAGATGAATGGCTTGATTTATTGTTTGACTGTAGTCGACGCGAATGCGTTTCCTGCCTCTCATTTGTATTCACAAGGACTTTTGCTCGCCAATGAGTCCGAAGACTCGATAATATGGTCGATCAATAATTTTCGGATTTCGGTTTCGATGAACGACAGATCTGAGGCAAGGTGACGGCGTGATTTAGTGGTGATGGGAACACGATTGGGCGATAAATGCCTAAATGGAACAGGAGCATCGACGTGTGCAGCCTTGAGAGCACATAGAGAGAGAGAGAGATGGTCGGTGTCCATGAAAGGGAATAACTGTTTTTATTTTGACTGACAAAATCGTCACTCCAAATTACATCCGTACACAGATTGTTTAAAACGGAAAGTTTAATTCCGTCATAGTGATTGTTTTTATAGTGTACAGAGGCGTAAACATGTCCAGAAGTGATACAAGATAAGCGCGTCGAAGCCATGGATATGGCGCTTTTAGAAGGCTCTACAGGCCAGTTGTGTTTTGCCGGAATATCTGTCGATAGGTAGCTCTCACAGCTACCAGTGTCTTTAAGCGTGTACATCGGTACTCCAATAACGTGAACTAGCACTGTAGATTTAGACAGCTCAGTAGATAATGATATAGCGATGAGTGATGCGATTCTGGGATTTATTGATGAAATTATGCTTTTGGTTTTAGGATTGGATTGGATGACCTCTAGGACATGCCCCTTCTTCCCACATTTATAACAAATAGCTTCCTGGGTGGGGCATTTGGAGCGAGGATGTCTTGGTTGCCCACAGAAAAAGCAAAGGGTAGACACAGCACGGATTACTTCTCTCCTTTCGGGCTGAGGTTCAAAAGCATCTCGTATAGAAACCGGAGCTGCTACATCTGACTGCATGGATGTAGCGCCGCATGGGACATAGGAGGTTGAAGATCAAGATTATACTTTTCCAAAAGTCGTTGGCGAATGCTATTAGACATAAGTCCTGTGATGAAGGCATCGCGGATAGCCTCGTCATGATGGTTTTCAGCAGAAACGGACAAGAAGTTACAGTCACCAGCGAGGTTGCGTAGTTTTTGTAGAAACTGATCGACTGATTGTCCATTTTCGTGTTTAGTTGTAGCTAATACGTGGCGCACAAAGACTTCGTTTTTCAGTTTAATATACAGAGCTTCTATGCTTCGTAGCATCTCGTCGCAGGTGGAGCAGTCCCTAAATTGCTGGAGAGATGAGGTTGATAAGGAGTTTTCTTGTATCGATGTCGGGAATCTTTACTGTTAAAAGAAAGTTATCGAATATATCCGGCTGCTGTAGAAGAATAAGGATCAGCATCAAAGCTTTTGGGGCGGAAAAAATGTTCCATTGTTCGAAGATGCGGAGTAATCCAGAAGAGGAGTTTGACTGTATATAGGCTTTAATCTTCTAACAATCTTAGTACAAAAGCTATAATGTAAAAAGGGAGGGTTAATACAGTTCAATGTGAAATAGAATAACATATTAGTTTATGAAAACATTTTCTCGCGAAAACTATATGGAATCTTCCTGGAAGTGGATCCGTACTATCAAATACTTAGAATCCAACGAATCCAAGTCAAAATGCAGAGAAAGTCGCTTCTGATTAATTTCGCATTCGATTTTGTCCTAAAGTGCTGAACTGAATTCGTTCCGGCTTATATGAAAGGTGCATCGCTCCACGCCACGGAACCAGCTTTCCTTTTCATTTCAAAGGTACAAAACACGCAGAAATCATTTGTTTAAAATGATGTTCCTCACTCTGTTCACTGTCGGGTTTTTGTCCATATTTTCATGCAACGCTATCTGATCTGATAACCTATTTATTTCAGAAAATACAACATGCGGGCTGCTGTGACGCGATCATTTTCCACACTTCCAATCAAGAGACACCATGTAGCTGTGGTAAGCGGATCATTGAATTTCGTTGAGCGAGCACGCTTTCTTTATCTTAACCGTTAGATTTTACACGGCTGTGGTGTATACGATGGGACCGAGATCCACGAAGCCACTAGGTAAGTGCAATCCGTTATATCAGAAACACCCACGATTTTCCGTTAGCATGCTTATTCATTTAAGCAAACAAAAAGTAAAGGTCTCCATGTTCGCTCCGAATGTGGATCAAATGCATGTAATCAACCATCTGAAAGGGGAGCCAATGCAGCCGAACAGGTTTGTCATTTCCCATTAAACCCAGTTCCTAGTCCCGAATCCACAGAAATGTCCTGGTTGAATCAGCTCGTCTAGCTAGAGGTCAAATCAGTGCACTGAGTGAGCTCGATGTGTCTCAGTTCGATGCATTGCTGATTCCCGGTGGATTTGGGGCCGCCAAAAACTTGTAAGTGTGGTTTGCGTGTTCATCACTCCGAACGAGACAGGTCGAATTTCGCAGAGAAACAGGCATCCTGTGCAGTCATCCCACTTGTGGAATCCACTCTGAAAAAGTTTCACAGTGCCGGGAAGCCAATCGGGTGAGTGTGAACCTTTTGCACGAGCTATTGTTTTTTTAATTGGTATCGATTTTCTCGGTTTGACTTTGCACGCCTTTATCTCTCATTTATTATTGAATATCTCATGTGTGGAGATAAGCTCTAACAACAAGCGATTCTGGCTGTATGATGATTATGATTGTACTACTACCGATGGAAGTCGTCGGTGAAGTNGTCACGCGGAGTCGTGAAAAGTTACGCAGGATGATTCACACTATCACATGCAGTTGTTTTCACAAATGTTCACGTCGACGACGGCGAAACATACAAGTGATACTTGCCAGATAACAGGACAGTGGTAACCCCTTTGTTTAGTGGCGCACACTAAGTTCATACACCCCACATTCCATTTTGAATGAGAGCCGGTGTAAACAAATGTAACTTGGATTATCTGTTTTGGTTAGATGTGAGTTGTTTCATGTGTTAGTACCACTCAGATACCTTTCATGCTCAGCGTCGATTGATTGGTCGGTAAACATAAAACTGATGAACTACACTCAAGGAAAAAGTCCAGCTTGGTGCTTGTGAAGCTGAAACCGACTGAACTGAGCATTCTGCGTGACAATAATATTTATTCGGGGAAAATTGGTTCTTATTGCACAAAGCGAAAGGGAGCGTTCAACACATCTCTTTAAAGGTAGATTAAAAGCATGCGATTGACTTGCATGCACCTGAAGGTACAGTAGTATTGCTATATCACAAAGTCGGTTTCCACACTTCCTCGGACGTTAACAGCTGCAACATACCTCTAGTGAAAGGATGTTTTTGTCATTGAAGAAGACCCCAGCTGTTCCATAATTTGCTCCAGATCACCTGTACTTTAAAGCATGTGGGTCTAGTGAAGCTGACCTTGGTATATTTGAGTCACCGCTGCTTCCATGTTTATGTCAGCAGGGTACTTTTGACCAAACGTCATGGGACGGTAATCATAAAATCTATGGATCTATTCAGTATTGCCGAGTTTTTGAATATTTTATTTTTGTGTATCTGATACTGCACAACCCCAGCAATCCATATGATTCTTGTTCACGTTGTCGTCCAAAATCTAATTAAGAGACATTTAAATTAGTGCTCCAGAAATATACAGGCTGGAATACCGGTACGAATCCTTTGATCTCCGATTTACATCACTTAGAATAACCAATCTGAACATCCGTGGAACTAATGGAAACAGTGGACCAAAGTGAAAGCACGTGAACTTTCTGATACGGGAGGCTATCTAGTATTTCTCAAAGCACTTTTGTCCCGACATCCCATTCTTCTGTGCTCAAATCCCCATGGGATAATAAAACCAAATGCGTGTGGGCCTTTCGCAATATAATACTTTGAGTTCTGATAAACTTTGCGAAAGACGATATCTACTAATTTCACTTTCATTTGGGATGATTTGGTAAACTTGCATCCACAAGTATGGTGTATAGCGCTGAAAATTCGACCATCAGGGTATACAAATCTACTAGCGAAATAATATAATTCGGTGATTTTTTACTCATCCCCTTAGTTTGTGGGCTGTTAAGGCTGCCGCTTTATTTTCCGCTTGATATCAAGGTTTTGGGACGTTATGTGTTCTATACTTTAAGCTAAATTTATCAAAACGTTCGTAGTTCAATGGGACAACAATTTCGTGCAAATGGCGTTCGGTGACGTTATGCAAAGGCCAGTCATGCGAACCGTTGGGTCTTGGTTTTCTTGTTTAGTTATCCTAGCGTTTTTTAGGCTTTACTGCTCCGTTTCATCTGTTTCGTAGAGCAATAGATGAGACAACTCTTCACTGTCTAGAGGCTGCCCGACCTGTGGAGACAGTTCTCTGTGTGGCAACCTACAAAGACCTGTCATCAGAAAAAAATGAAGGTATCCCCTGCTTTTTTGCATCTATTAGGGGTGTTTTGGTTGGTGAAGCGATTTTCACTTTGTTGGTATCAATTGGTATCACGTCCCCCGATTGAATACGAGGACTTGATTTCAGTAAATGCAGTATTATTCTAATGAGAAACCAATTTTTATTGTGAATGATCGTGATAGTTTTTTAAAATGTTTGATCTAGTTTTCTTACCCCCTTTCTCTTGCAGGTTATGCTGTATTGCACCTGTCCTTGCTGCACGATGCATTCCTGGTGTTGAGTTGACAGTTGGAAAGGATACCGATGAGAATGGCCGCTGGCCTAGTTCGGGTGCAGCCCATGCTGTCAAAGAAATGGGCTCCAAACACGTGAATTGTGACGTAGACGTATCCTTTTTCATCTTACTACCCTCCCTAACCCCACCCCACGTCACCCAGAATTCACAATATGTTCATCCAATCCCCATAGAGTTGATAATGCTGAACGGAGTCTCAAGTTGACAAATACCAATCCGGGATTTCCGTATATGAGCTGACACACCATCCGTTGTGCGTCCTTCGGGTGCGATATAGCTGCCCCAGATGACAAAACTTTTCTACTCGGTCTGTCAATTCCCTAGTTAGAGTGAGGCTGAATGCTGGATTAATCCAGCTTTGTAGCAAAATTTTACCCTTTGAAGGTGCAAAACGCATAAAGGACATGCTTACACTGGCACTCAAAATATGCAGAAAAGCTTGCAACTTACCTGGACATTGTAGCGCTAGGTGGGGGTGGGGGTGGTGGTAGGAATGAGAGTTGACAACACGCATCGCGTACACGGCTAATGCGGAATTCCTAACGGATCACACTGCCTCCGATGTCGTTGCGCTCAGCGTTTACTTTCGCTATTCATATATCCATTCGGGCGTTCAAGGTAACGTATCAACATATCAGTATGAATGGTCGCAGTTTGCAGGCCTTTCTCTTATTGCGCTCAGCTTATACCCCGATTCTGCTGTTCTGTGTGTTGGTGCTCATGCGATCAATCCTGTTTCAGAGCTCTACTGTATGTGGCGGGTTTTCCTCGAAGACTACCTTCATCTATGTACATTTCCTTTTCGCATGGTGCAGTTCCAATTTTTAAAACAACTTGTGTCACGGTTGTAGCGAGACACATATCGCATGTAACTCGTTTATGGGTACGAGCACGTGAGCACAGCCGTAGGATATGCGCATAAGCAAGCGAACATGTCAGCCATGCGAACAAGTGCGGGTATTACATGCAATCATTGTGTATGGTCAGACCGGGTGGAAAAACGAGCAGCAAATCGATCAGTGCGGACAGGTCAATGCCGAGGTCTGATTAGCTTACTGACATGTGTGCGTGCCTGTATTGGTGGTATTCGGTATCGATTAATAATGCCACAGACAGTGCAAGCGACGCTTCAGTCAGTGGTGAACCACAACAGCGTGGAACAGTCAGGAATTTCAGCGCTATAGTTTGAAGCCGAACCGAACATTTCATAGTGCATTGACCAGTGGCATTACTCCTCATGTGAACCTCAGGTTGTAAAACGGGTGGTATTTTTGATATATTCTACAATTCGAGTCATTATACAACTCGCAAATTTGGTTAGCGTATCATCGCCGTTCGTATCCGTTGTGCGTCGTGACGGAGTTGATCAGTAATGGAATTGCATGTGCCATGCGTTCCGCGACTTACGTTGCTTGAGTATCCGAAACATTGGATCTCTCAGGAATCAACAGCCTTGATGAATAATTAACGAGGGATCCCTACCGGGCTGGAACAAAACAAGAACACTTGACGTCTACTACGTGAACTTCAGAATGGACTGAGAAAACTGGTGAACTAAAATCGCTGCTGAAACAGAGGGAACATCGGAGATGGGCGGCTCCCGGTTAGTGAGACTATCTGTGATAAAACTAATCAAACTTTACTTGATAAGGATTACTGGGCGGAACACTTTCACATTGTCATTTCAGCCTGTCCGGTACCAATCAGATTAATTCGTCTGTTCTACCTAAAGCTTCATGGGCAGTGTCATGTGATCCTCCACCAGAACTAGAGTTACGGTCTGGTATTCATGCTCTAAAATGAGGGAAGAAAACTTGACATTACGAACTTCTCGCTTCTATTTGGTTATCAGGACTTCCTTCCCATGGCACTCAGTTTATATACCAATACTTGTATCGCGTGTTTATGTTTCTGTGATCAGAGCTGTGTGATGAATTTTCCTCTTACGCCACTTCCATGTATCTGAACTTCATTTTTCTATAGTATACCCTGCCACGTGGAACATCGTCTAACACGAAAAAGTGGACGCCTGAAATATAAGTGTTATAGTTGTATAACACTGGTTGCAGAGTGAACGTCTGATGGTTCCTTGATATTGCTTCACACGAGGTTTTCAGATCGTAGGACCGGTGTTTAAAAGCCACTAACTGTCCCCTACAGGAGCATTCGGGTCACGGTTACGATAGCCAAACAGGTTTCCATTTTCACCCGTCATTTTTCCTTGACTCCTCCGTTTTTTCTATCCTTACGCAGGAAATCTGTGTGGACGAGAAAAACAAGATAGTTTCCACACCGGCTTACATGTGTGGTCCAGCTACTGTGGCCGACGTGTTTGATGGAATTGGCAAACTAGTGGAGGCCGTTATTCGTTTGTAGTTCGACTAGTTTCCTCTCTCTCTCTCCTCTCATTTTTCTCCTTCTCATCTTTCTCTCTCATTCATACCGATGTCTGTTTCGCAATATTTGTGGTCCCGTGTTACTTCTTCAGAATGACTTATTTTCTAATTTTTGACTCATAGATATCTAACATTCATTCAACATTATGCTTAATAAATCTATAGTGTTGTGTCCGCATACGCCCTTTTCTCGTGTTAGTATTGTGGCGTCTGAGCTGAAGTCTGTAAAAGCGTACTGCATCGAGACGATTAGCGAATTGCGTTCATCGGGGTATATGTTGTTTACTTTGCAGATGCTTCTGTGTTTCGCTGTGGGGTAAATTGTACGGCTTCAGCTCCCTGACTGAACCACGATCCTTTCATTTTACTTCCTTCTATTGAATATACAATGTTAAAACTTTCAGGAAGGAAGAAGCTGCCAATCAAAGGGTTGCTATACAACACACATACTGGGGAAAGTTAGGTGGTGGTGTGACTCGAGCACGTGTCCTTTGGAGTAATAATTTGTTGACTTACCACCAGGCCACCACTGCCATCAACATGAAAACCAAAAACCACAGTATTGGGGATAGCGTAGTTGCATTTGGCTTGGTTTTCATACCCACAAAGTGTAAAATACCAATACAGCATAGAGTTGATTCCATTGCGACTTTCATTTTGACCGACCAGGTGGTGTAGTCCAGTCCTTTTGCATAAATCGCGAAGCTTTCCATGAATAAGGAATCCTGGTTACAGTGTCAGCACTCAAGCAAAAGGCTCGTTGTGGCATTCGACCACTTACGACAGGTCGGACGTGTACTGCAACCATTAAGTCATCCTTCGAATACGGTGCGAAAGCGTCGTAGCGATCAGACAGCGGGGGCGAAATCATTTCTCACCAGGCTACATTGTTGACAGAAGTATGCATGCAGAACAGTTCGGTTGTGTACTCTGCAATCTGACTGTAGAGGCTTGTTTTCTTCTCGATTCCATTGGGAGCAGTCTTACGATCCACTCCACTCCGCGCATTCCTTTTCCCGTATCGTGATTTTAGCAGCGATCGGTGAATTTGGCTGAGGAGGTACATAAACGGAAGACAACTCAATGAATGTTTTTAATTACTTTTTTTGTTTATTCACCATAGAAATGTACAATGAACTTTCAAGAAGTTGATCGCGGCCCTACAAAAGCTGTCTGGAGAAATACAGGTGAGAAGATGGGCAGTGGTGCTGGGAATCGAACTCAGTACCTCAAGGGTGGTTACTTTTGACAACGATCAATGAAGTTCGCTTCACTGTATTTCGCTATTTAATGAGGATGATGCGGCTAATTTGACGACCTTGTCACTCAATCACCACTTTGTTCATAACGGTGAAACCTTTTTTCAGATGTTTCCATCACGGCATGTGTATTGGTTTCCGAAAGTCACAATCTGTGGCTTCATCGAAACTAATCTCCCATACCTTTGTTTTCATCCAAATGACGCCTGTTTTATGGCTATAGCAAATAGCATCCTATTGGGCATTAGATCTTGTCGTTTTTACTATTATTCATAGAATTGTACCTGATCAAAACCATATGAACGTCACTTGTTGTCGAACAATAAAGGATACTACGGTTGATTTAAGAGTTTCCTCTCAACCGTGTCATGTTTGCACAATAAGCATTCTGTCATGAACGCACGTGCCTGAGGAGTTTCCCGCAAATTGATATATATATTCCGTGCTTTTTCAATTATTTCTATCGTCGAACCCATTTGAGGTTCATATCGGAAGTTGTTTCTCTATTAACGTGTTTTCCGATCCAACTCATTCTTTGTATGTCGTTATTCCGGACTATCGGTTTCACACTTGCCCTGAATGAGCTTATTGTCTTCATCCCCTCGCGTAAATATTTCTATAGTTTGCCTTCATAAAAGCTTAGATTCTGATCGAAAGGGCTGAGGTTATGATAGAACCTGCAACTAGCCTGGGGTTTTCAAATTTTGAATTCTGACGTGAACTATTCTTTTTGGTTGTCTGTTGTACCCCGCCCCTCGTCTTTTGAGTGAATAGCCGTTGGTGCATATTGAAGCCCGGCTAGTGGAGGTTGAAAAAAATTCTCGGGACAGTTCAACAGAGCCAAGTGTCAGAAGGTGTACGTTGAACGTACTGGGGATCTACATATGTTGATGGGGTAGGAAATGTGTTCACTCGTTCATAGTCGCATTGAATCAACATCCATCTATATATTGAATCAGAAATGTGCGTATTTATGTGCTTGGCATTCATTAGCGAAATGTGTGTCAGAAAGGATGCCTGAACAACGTGGAAGATGCTTGGTAACCAGTTGTCAGTATGCGCCCTGAAAACTGCTTTGTTCTGGGATAACCAACCAGAACAACGATAGGCGAACTCAGGTGATCGGGCGGAACCGCCAATCAATCAAGACGGTTGACAGCAATCCAGTGAACCAATCGTTTGAAAAATGCGTTCCCCTGTCCTCGCTCTTTCCTGTAAATAAGCATATCTTTTGTACAATAAATGAATTAATCCACGTCTCCAGCTGTGTTCTGTTTCACTACCTATGAAGTTCCTATCGGGACCAGAAGACGATCCTTTGAGAATCCATTAATGAGCAGATCATGTGCGGTTACAACACCAGTGTTAAAATATGAAGTGGAGGATGTGTGTTCAAAAGGGGAACAATGTGTCTGTATTTCTCAAAAGAAGAACGTTTATGCAATATATCAGCGGCTTTTTATGATCGACAACTATCGCTGCTAGTGTAATTCAGTTTCCGTCAGCTTGATTGCATCTCTTTGGTCGTTGGTACGACTCTCTTACATTGTTCTTAAGTTCGTTCAGTGGGTGTTGCCAGCACGGTCTTGAATGCCGTGGCCTGGTCTCATCTAAACCTGCTATCTGCCAATGGTTGCAAGGTTGAACAATAGGTTGGTAGTAGCCATAGCAGCCTTAGCAACCGAAGCCGGACAATGGTCCATTTGGGTACGTGTCTCGTCTCATGTCCGAGATGTAGGACATCGCATGTACACGTAAACATACTGGAACCTAACGACAGAGGCTGACGAGGTATCGCAGTGTCACTGAACACTGAACTGTCTGGGCCTTAGTTACACAACAAGAAACGTTCTACCAAGGCCATTTATCTATAGGTATGAAATTTCGTCTAATTTTTTAGGAAGCATACTAAAAGTACTCGATCGATTGGTTAGCCTGTTAACCAATCCAATCACGAACCCGACTGTCTGGCCTGACGACCGTTTATATTCCGTCCGTTTGGTGGTCAATATAACGATTGATAATATCTGTTCGTCTAAATCACTTTTTTGACCGTGAGTCTCTTGGACACTATCAAAAGATCATGAATTTTCAGTGGTTGTGGGCACTTTTACAAAAGTATGTTGTTTCATTAATCCCACAGAACACATTCAAAACAACAGCGTGGCGAACAAGCTCGTAATCATACCATTACATAACAATAAATATGACTAACTATAGGAAACGAAACAGGGGATGAGAAATTCGAGTCCTAATGATTCAGAAAAGTATCTTGCCGATATGGCTCTCTGATCTCAAATGTTTCAGTATGCCTCACTGATGAGCTCTTATAAGAGTGAAACTTGGAGTGTTTGTTGACTGCATATACCGAAGATTACGTGTGAAGGTGAAGTCTGAAGGATTTCCGGTTCAACTCCCACACCAGTGCACACAAGCACCTATGGGTTTCAATATCTCTCATTTTTGTTATAGATCCCTCCTCCCGCTGATCATAAATACACCCAGAAAACAATATTTCACCTTCTCACTTTTGAATATAACACAGTAGATGCTAGTGTGTTCTCCGAGCTGGCAGTGTGGTTCGCAGACGTTTTGTAGCCACACTAGGCAAAATCATCAGTGCATTCCGAGCTACAATCGTTCCACACTAAATCCAACACACTAACTGTTTCTGAGTATCCATACGGTATTCTTGTAGCAGAAAATTTGTATTAAAAACTGAAACACTTGAATTGAGTTTGAATAGGCAAGTCAAAAGAAAAACAAGAATTCCTTTCGTATACGTATAACATTGAACAAGATCGATACATGAAGTATATTAAGAAACAATATAATCGGATCAGTAAGGCCTCACTTATTGCCAACAGTTTTGCCTTGTGGTTACGTAACAACGGCTTGAAAGAGGAAGCGGGATCAACTATGTGTTTGGTTGTCTTTCAAGCCGTTGTTACGTAACCACAATGCAAAACTGTTGGCAATAAGTAAGAAACCATAGTTAGGTTTAACCGTCTCTGTGCGGGTGTGCGCGTTTGTTTGTGTACGTTGTGTGATGCGCATGATTGGTTACAACCAGGGAAGGTCATATGCTTTTGGACACAACGTGGGTTTTTTACGAGCGATCGATAATGCCTCGAGTATTCTTAGTCGTTGTTTGTCACGATGACGAGAACGCGTTCTCAAGGTCCACCTTGTGATCGCTTTCAACCAAGTGGCATGCGATGGTCAAAGTCGGTCTACGTGATGCAGTCTCAATCTGTGGTGTAGACTGTCATTGATTCACGCACGCCCTTAGGGATGCGTTCGGTCGTTCTAGTTCGCAGTGATCAGTCGGTTACACCAATGTATGCTTCGTTGCAGCTGCAACAGAAGGCGTAAGTGCAATGACAGTTGGACTCGGTTGAGTGGCGATCTTTGAATGGCTGGAGGGTTAGACACCGTGCGATCGGATGGAGGCGTAGTGTGGCAACATAGTAGGTTCTTTGTAAAGCGTTTTTTATACGCTGTGTAATAAGCCGCATTGGTGACTCCTCTTTGTATGGCAGAGAGATGTGGATATTCTTTTTAGACACGCTGTCGAAAGTTGCTTGAGTCTGTTTACTTGTCCAATTATGAAAACGAACGAAAGATTCCGGATAGCCATTTTCCCGTAATGCGCTGTAAATATTCCCATGCTTGTTTATTGTGTCCTCCGTACGTACTTTTCTTGCTCTATGGGACTAAG